TGATTCAACGGATCTGCCCAAAAATTTATTAGTTCGGTTTGGAGTTAGGTGTTAGAGGCTAACTTAAGTCGCATGATCTCTTCTTTGTTGTTATTTTTTATCTTCTTGGTGCAAAAGCCGGAATGTTACCGGAGCGGCGACAATGGGAAGAGAGGGCGGTGAGTTAACGAAGCTAATCCGATGCTTAAGCCGTAATTCTTGCGGGAAAAAATTGGATAATGGAAAAGTGGTCAATTTGAATTAGCTTTTTGGAATCTTGCTTCCTTGTTTCTCAAATTTAATAGAAAGTCAAATTCAATCGTTAGGCAACATCTTTTACATTTCTTTCAAGGAGAATCTTTAGATTTGATGCTGTATTCAAACAATTAAACATGATTAATGCATGCCAACGTATTTTTCTTACAAATATAGAACAATATCCGATTTTAGTTTTTTACAACATATATGTGTAATTAATCTGTTTGGATAATACAACAAATATGTTGATCAATTTAATAGCATAAATATTAGTATACACTCCATTGTTATAATTTTGTTGTTGCAATTCAAAGATAAACAAAATAGAGGCGGTGGGTTGTGGATAAAACCTCTGGCTCCGAGTCGCGTATGTAACTTGACTACTTGAGATTCAAGATTCCATTTTTATTTATTCCTTTCAACATTCAAATATATGGTTCCGTATAGAGAAAAAGTCTTATAGTTTGCTTCAAATCTAATTATTTTCTTAGATCAATATATTATTTAACTTCCCCTATAAATACATACGCCTCGGAGAGCATTTTCAACATCAAATCAGAAAGGAAGAAAAACAAGCCCTCTTACATACACAAACATCCAACCATGAATAGCAACAACAAGAACAACATGAAGACGAGTTCCACAAAAGAGAGTGGTAATGGTGCTACTACCAACATTGTTATCACAGAGACAATCAGGAATAAGAAGGTCGAGAGGAAGGCATCAATGGACGTGGACCAGTGCGCGGAAGCATTCATCTCAAAGTTCAGAAATCAGCTTCTTCTCCAGCGTCTTGAGTCCATCGACAATATGCTCTCTCGAGGCCTTTAATAACACAATTTATCAATAAACACTATGTATCTACCTATTTATCCATGTATAGTTCTTTCATTTTTATATGTTGACTTCGAGAGTCTAGTATGCATTGTTTGAGAGAGAACACTTAGTTGCATATCAAATTTAATGACAATGAGTGGATTAACGCATACCAGTTTTATACTATTATTATTTTAGGTCATCTTTCACTTCAACGTGGGATTCCTAACATGCTCTCTCGAATTGAATGTTACTCTGGTCTCCGTTAATTCGGACCATATACAAATGTAAATTGAACGAACTAAAGCATGCATATGTAAGCATTAATTCCCTTGGTTATATTATATAGTAATTAGAGGAGGGAAGAGAATGGTCATTTCCTCGAGGAAAATCACATTCGCTCATGATTCACGTCGGTTTCTTATTGATTACACCCAAAATCAAGCACACCGATACACAATGC